CGAGAATATATAGGAAATTGAATAAAACAAATGTATATTTTATTATCTATACAGTATACATATAATATGTAAAATTCTAACTCATTCAAATCTGTACATTAAATATTTTTTTGGAAAATCTTATTGAAATAGTCATTATTATCGATACAGACGCCGTATCTATGGTTTTTAGAATTTTTGCCTGTCCGTCTGTCTGGTAACGCGTCACGAGAAAACCACTGGACAGATTTTGTTGAAATTTGATTTGACCATAGCTGGTTATCCGGGTCAACATATAGATATTTTTTACTGCGGAAAAATATCTCATCTCTGAGAAATCTATACTAAACCTTAAAACGTAAAGTATGAACTAGGGACGAACCCGAGCGGAATGAGGGTGAGTCGCTAGTATGAATATAAAAGCTTACATGTAAATAGATCAAAACATCTACTGTTAAAGCTCTTGGCTAAGCGACAATATAGTATTCTAAAATCGTTAAAGAATAGAAATTTTAACTAACAAAATATACGGGAATGCCATATTAGGATTCTATGACATAAAATTAAAACGATTTCAATACAATTTTAAAAATAAAAAAGTTTGAAACTAAAAAAAAAATGCTATTACCATACTGATCGTTGTTCAACCTATTACGTTTTCGGCATCTTGATATGTATTTATATTGTTTTTAATATAAACCAATTTCAATAATAATTTCAATCTAAATCATAACCTCATCTATTCGTACTATAATTAAATCTATTCTTATATCGAAATTAGTTGATTTTATATATACTATGCTAATACTATATTGTAGACAAACATACAAAATTCTATACATGAATACGTATACGAAGTTTGAAACCGCGACCCCGGATGTGTATAATATTACCATAACTTCTCAAAATCAGTTAATTATAACCGAAATTTTCATAACGCCAGCGCCTTAAACTCATTAAGTGTTTAGTCGACACTAATGTTACGAAAGCTATGACATACTTTAATTTGTGTAAATTTGTTCGTAAAGTTCGTAACAGGAAAAATGCATCCACTCGCTAACAGCTCTTGGTAAAGTTCCAAGACGTATAATTACTTCGAACTGATTGCTAGACTTTATTTTAAAGTAAACCTCGGTAGTTCAAACCAAGTAGAGAATTTGGCGGATTAAAGCTCTTGAAATTAAAGCTGTCGGTGTGCTTTCGAGAATTCGATAAATTTTAAGGTTCTTTTGCTTGCATGAGATCGTTATCTCGTGTTAAAGCTTATAAAGGCTGTGTGATTTGTATCAAACAAAACAAAATAAGTTAGTGTTAAAGTGTTCAACTATTAATTTTGTATTAGATTGTGTTGAATGAAATATAGAACCTTTGTAACTGTGCAAAATTATAATTAAAATTATTTTTATGTATTTTTGATTCTGGACATTTCGGATGCTTCATATAACCTCTACAGGTGTCAGAGAAAAAACTCAATTTAAACCAATACAAAAAGCAATAAAAAAAATATTTCTTTTTGCTTATATGTGTGTATGTTTGATACTCCTTACGCTTATCTACTAAAGAATTGGACTTAAGTAACATACGTATATAATTAGGTTATTATTAGATACCTAAGAGTCATGTGCGGTGAGTGTATGTCGCTAGTAGTACATATATATTTTTTTTCTCTTTCGGTTGGCTAAAATCAGCTAAAACCAGAATAACAGATAAAAATTAAAATTATCGCATGGAAAGAAAATGTGTGAACGAGTCCATACAATTTTCCGCGTCACTGCTCTGAAAATGTACTGCAGGACAATTGTTTACAGACAATTTTCATTACAAAATAGGTTGAGTTGATTGTCAACTTGCTCTCTCGGTAAATGTGAGAATTGTTTGAACTACATATTGTAAATTTGCTGTGATTTTACAATGAAATTGTGGGAAATGTATACACATATGTATTTATTTTAACAAATGACATATGAAATTTACTCGTCGGTTGACTAGATTGCTTGATTTTATGGTAAATCCTAATATTCTATTTGTGGTGGACGGTGGTTCGTACTAGCGATGGGAATTTGACATAATTGGTATGAAGCTCATGTCAAATATCTATAGATAGCATACTGAGATAATCATTGGTCGTTCAAACAAAGAGTAGGTACACAATTCAAATGTGATTCTTATATGATGTTAATGATTTAATTTTTAATCAAGAGCCCTTGTTTAAGTCGGAGAAAGTCCTCAAAATATATATTTTTTGTTTAAAAAGTAAAAACTTTTTTATAAGATTTGATTTGTTTTAATAAGAATTTTATTATGTCAAGCAAACTCAAACCCGCACCTACATTTTTAAACAATAATACACATATCCGTCGATATTCAGTAATATTTCCATATTCCGTTTCTGAAACAAGATTCACTGAAGCTACACTTCGGAGCATATATTATTTTGACTGTTCTCATCACTTTTTGTACTGTGAATAATTTAGAGTCTCAAGAGTTGGGATGGAGGAGGAAAATGACATTTAGTACATTTTCCCCTCGACTTTCTTTCAATCAATGTTGTTTCGATTACCCTGAATCATACATAACGTATTCAACTAATGCATACGTAATCAATTCTTCTGAAAGAATATCGTAATTTTCTGCTAAACCAATATTTATACTGATGTCGAACAAAATCATGTGCTAAACTTGCTAATAACCACAACTAGTTTTTGCTCGAAGCCTCGCTCATGTCGTATGTAGGTGACTTAAAAGTTAAATAAATAAATATTTTGGGACATTATATATACATATATATATATATATATATATATATATATACATACATATGTGTGATGTGTATTTAAGTTTGTAGATAAGTTAGCAATCTTAATATTTATTTTGAAATTCGCGGATCCGGTAGGCAGACGTTGTCCTGTCATGGACCTCAATTGTTTGAAAAACTAAAAAAAAAATGGATTTCGATAAACCACGATCACTTAAGTCGAGTCTAACTATCCAACCAAGTAACCAAAAAACAGAAGCTCTTAATGGGGCGATGCAAGACTCAACACTCAACCACTACGCCCCTACGGCAAGTAGACCACAACAACTATAGGATGCTCCAACCGTTCACTCTGTTGTCAGAGAAGTACCAGGAGCAACCGCTCATCAAGGTAGCCCATCTCCCGGTGTGTTTCTTGGCTTCGCACCCGGCTGGATTGCCGGACGCTAATCCTCCCCCTCTCTCCTCATACAAGGTAAACACACGTTGGGGGGAAGTTCACCACCCCTAAAACAACTATCTCTAGCGATGGATTTTTATTTTTCATTCTTTAATTTGGACTCTCTAGTCGATCTCGGAATGGACAAAAAATAAGTAATGAAAATCACAATTACATTCACATTATAGCCTTAAAAGACTGCGAGTGAGGTGTACTACTTCGTCACGCTGAAATGTTTACCCCGAAAAATTGCTTCATTATTCCCGCTAACAAAGTAGGAAAAAATGTATTGCTACAAAATATGTTTTGCTACAATTTGCTCTACAAAAAGAAAAGTTTTAATTATGATGTTTTAGGACTTCTCCCTATAATGAGGGAAATAAAGGCGTACGACCGCTTTCACGTGTATTCACGAAAGGTTTTATCAAAAACCATTTTATTCTGATGAAAGCTAAATAATCCCTTCCCCATTATACCAGTTTTCATCAAATATCTGTTGGCAATTTTCGAGAAAATTTAGTCTAGGGTCCCGAATTGAAATTGTTGTCGTTTTTATATACTTAATATATAATAAATAATACGTAAATTTTTCTAAATTTATACTTATATTATATAGAGACAGAGTTTGTTTGTTTGAAAGCGCTAATCTCCTGAACTACCAATTCGATTTGAAAAATTCTTTTTTGCATTATTTTTTTTTTAATTATTTATTACATTATTTTTTTTCCATTGCCCGTTTATGGAGGAAGGCTTATATATAAAAAATTATCATCCCAGAAAAATGTACAGTTCCCATGGGATAGACTGGTTTTTGTGTAGGGACAGAACCGAAGCGAAGCCAGGGTGAGTCGCTGGTCTAAGTATTATGACTCAAATTAATAATGTAGTATTGTATTCCAAATATATATATATATTTCGTTTAAAACATGAAAAGAGAAGGTCGTTGAATAGAGAATCTTGTATTATTAGATTTATTTCATCTTCATAATTTAAATATCGAGACGCTTTGCCCGAGGGCCATTAAAATTGATTGATCTACGCAAAATTACTAACAACAAGATGATGATACACTCTAGAATTTCTTACCGTATAATTTATATGCGAAATAAATAGCTGTTACTCCAAAATTCTCTTGACTCTTATATTTGGACAAGATTAAAATTAATAAAGGAATATTTTTGAAGATTGCCGAAGATATTATGTCTATACAAATAATAAAATTCGGAGTCGAATCTGTACATTAAATATTTTTTGGTAAATCTTTACAAATAGTCATTATTATCGATTCTGTATCAGAAATCAGAATCGGCTGAATCTATAGTTTTTTGAATTTTTGTCTGTCTGTCTGGGAACGCATCACGAGAAAGCCACTGGCCAGATTTTGATGATTTTTTTATGATGATAGCTGGTTATCCGCGTTAACATATAGGATACATTTTACTGCGATAAAATATCTTATTATTGAGAAATTTATATTAATCGTTATAACGTACAGTAGACACCTTAACGAAGCGAGGGTGAGTCGCTAGTTGTTAATAAAATTAAAACGAAATTTGTACTAGAAAACGTATATGAACTTAAAAATTTGCCATTGCCACTAAAACAATATCCCTCATTCATTTGTGAAATTTCTAATTCTTTTATTATACTTGTTTCATATTCTTTTATCATTTTTATTGTACTTTTGCTAGTTTAATTTATTTGTAGCGTATTTTAAGTTTGTAAGCGTATTGTATGTTCTATTGCCCGAAGCAAGCTTTTCTTTGTGAGCGGTTAACATAAAATGTATGAAATTGTTTTATGTTACTTAGAATAATATTATTATAAATGTGCAGATTTATTTTTTATCTAAGTTTATGCGTTTCTCTTATCGATTGTGTCGAATGGTCGCTCTCCATTCTACGTGACATTGGCGAAGTAATCTGTCCTCAACTGGCACGCTTTGAAGCCATTAACAAGATAATTCAGTTGGATTATGACAGTGACAGGAATAGAGATTGTGACTCCTCCTGCGCAGATAGTTTAGTCGTAGCTGAAATCAGTCAGAAAGACATTATTATTATGAGAAATAATTATATTATTTTATTTATCATACAAAATTTTTGATATATTTTCAAAATTTACTATCTATCCTTTAAAATACCTAATAACTCACTGCTTTGAATTAATTTCACTTTGTATATCCTACTTTAATTAGTCTAAACATTTTACACGTTATAGCAACATCATTCCGATTGCTAAACTCAAAACAATATTTTCTTTTCAGTTACCGCCCTCAGAGAGCATTGGGATGAAGCTAATGCTCGCGTTCTACAGCGTAAAGCACAGCTTGATGCTATGCTGGGCGATTCTCAGCGATACGAAGCGAGACGGCGCGATGCAGACGCGTGGCTATCCCGTATGGAAACCAGGCTAGCTGGTATGACACCCCCAGGCCATACAGCTGATGTCCTTGAAATGCAGCTGAGAGAGCAAAAGGTGAGAAAAAAAAAAGATTTATTTTTTGGCTCGACAATTTCGATTAGCTCTCGCATGCGTCCCTTCTCCCTAGGTACCTAAGTATACTAAAATTCACCTGAATCCGTCCAGTCATTTTAGCGTTACAAAAAATACATAGTATCTATTTGTTCGATTACATATATGTACATAATGACACGTTTGGCTCAGTTTGTAGTGACCCTATTAGTTGTGCCAGCGGTCGAGGGTTTGAGTCCCGCTGGGGGCACACATTTGTGTGATGAGCACCAATGTTTGTAATCCAGTTATGGGTGTTTATATTTATAATATGTATACATATTTAAAGTTATAAATGTGTAGTGTATCAACTGTCTGGTATCCATAACTCAAAACTCGTAGTTTACCATGGCAATAGATGGTCCTGTATGTTAATGTCCCAACACATATTTTTTTGTATATCTTTAGTTGTAAAGCTGTGAAATTACTAAATATTTTGGTCCAATGGGTTTATTTGGGATTGAAATAAATTGGTTACTTTTACTAACATTATAAGGGAACAATACGTGTACTACATAATAGCATACATTGCTCTGTGTTGTTGACTGCTGTGACATTGATATGGGTTAGTTATGTATAGACTGACATAAATCCCATAAAAATATTTTGTTTCCCCCTAAATCTAGTGAGTAAGGAAATGCATTTACTACGTACAGGATTCGAACCCATAACCCTTTCCAGCGTTATCTTTATTTCACTCACCATTTAAAACGATCTTTGAATAGTATAATGTTATATGTAATTTTAATTGCAATTTATGCCTTTATAGGCAAAGTAATTATCGGTATACATGAAGTGAAGCGGACTGTACTGCGGAATGGAAATTGTTGCAATGTAAAGAGATCAAATATGAAATGGTATCAGTAGAGTATATTTTTTATTTATTTAACCCCCGACGCAAAAACGGCGGGGTGTTATAAGTTGGGCATGTCTGTGTGTATGTGTGTGGCATCGTAGCTCTCGAACAGATGAACCTATTTTGATTTTGTTTTTTTTTGTTTGAAAGGTAAATTAGTCGGGAGTGTTCTTAGCTATGTTTGGTCTATGGTCCAAGATGGTCGGAGATTTTTAAATTTTTATTCATAGCGAATAAGCAAAGATAGTGGCCTTTACTTAGGAATGTACTCGAAAAGAGATTAAAAACAATATAGGTATTAATAAGAAAAATACTACCACGGGAATCATATATTTTTCCAGGATAAAAATTAAAAAATAATCTGTGTATGTGCTATTCCACACTATAATCTATCTCTGTGCCAAATTTCCTTCAGATCTGTTCAGCCGTTCTGGCGTGATTGAATAATAAACATCTAACCACATTCGTATTTATTAAAATATCTGAAAACTTGTATACTGTTTTAAAAAAAATATATTATACTATTTTAAAATATTATTGTTTGGCTTCATATTTAGTTCTATGACGCTCTGCCTATATTATTCCTTAGAGGGTTGGTACATTTTAGTTTTACACTAGGTTTTATACTGTTTGGTTATTAGTATAGGAAAATATGGGACAGAACCCATAAATATGGGACAGAGCAAGAAAGAAGGCTTCAATCAGTAAAAGTGATATTTTTTTTTTTATTTCATTGTCCTTTATCTTTTTAATGTAGGTTAGTACATTTTGACCTGATTCCATTTGTACAATACGATAATTAAGAGAATAAAATAAAAGTCATGAAATAAATATAATATTAAGAGAGTTCTTTGTTCTGTATTTTCCATTAAAATATAATATGTACTTACTAGTATTATTGAAATTATCTTTTGAGTTTGAATATCTCAAGAAATCTACTTCACTTATGAATTTTATTAATGTGTTACTCTGTTAGTACGCAAACAGATGTAACTAACTTTTTTTTGATCTAGTGGCTAGCATGTACAGGTGCAGTCCGGAGGTCCTTGGTTTGAATCCCACGTCGGGTCAAGTATAATTATAGTAGTTTTCTGTCAACAAATTCTCAGTGATCTTGGTTGGGGAGTTAGCGGTCTCGAAATCTGCATCTGATCTCTCACAGGTTGCTTCGGATTGTAGTCTCACCGGAGTTTGAGAGTAACTGGAATAGAGAATATACTTGTGTTTGTGCGCATACTTGTGTACTATAATATAATACACATGGTTTGCCTCATTGAAATAATTATAGCGGTGAACGACATTTTTGCGCGAAAGTAATACAAAGAAACAAACGCTTTCGCATTAAAATAATCGATAAATCTATATTAAGCATGTTTTTTTCTATTTTCTAGTCATTCCACGCTGAAGTACACCAATATAAGCATCAGATCGAACTTTTCGGTCAACTCACGCAACGCCTGATCGCCGTATATCGTAATGATGATACCACCCGCATCAAACGCGCCACTGAGTCCATCAACCATCGGTACAACGAATTGAATAACAGGTAATAACAATATTATTCAGGCAGACTTAATTTATTTATTTCTTTATATTATATACGTATATAAAATATCATTTTTACTTTTTGATACCGACTACTAGCTGTTTCAAATATGACCACCATGCAAATAGTTGGTCGCTTCGATAATGGTCTCGCTCATGGTCGCCTAAACGTTTTTGCTTTTAATATCGTTCAAGTATCTTTTATAAACTACACATATATACTAATATTATAAAGAGACAGAGTTTGATTGAACGCGCTGATCTTAGGAACTAGTAATATATAATATTAATATATTAGACTTTTCCGCTAAACACATTGCGTGAATAAATAAATTTTCGTTTAAGGGATTAAATGGCCGATAAATAAATGAATTTGTTCTTTAAACAACTTTATTTTGTTCTTTAAATAACATAAAAATACTTCGTAGTACCTTAGAAATCCAATAGGTGGCACTAGTTAGTATGCAACTTTCAGTCAAACTTAGAGATGGCGCTATTTAATGTATCATAGAAATCTTAAATGGACTAAAATAAAAAAATACTAATTTCTACCAGTGGTTTTACGCGCTTAAAAAATAATTTTAGTTCATTTTCAACGTTTTCAATTACATATAGTACCATGCATATATGGGATAATAATTATTGTTAGTATAAGTGTTATTTAGGAGAGATTGTCTGTCTGTAAGCTTTTCCTTTAAGGAAATCTATATATTATGTTACAATATATTCCAAATCCTTTTAACTATTTATTCATATATAAGTAAAAAATATGAAATATACTTTCATATTATTAATATTAATAAAAAAAATGTATATTAATTCTTTAATCATTACTATTTCTTAGTATCATCGCTCGTGGAAAAGCGCTACATTCCGCAGTTTCATCGCTGCAAAACTTCGATCGTTCTTTGGAGAAGTTCGTGGCTTGGCTAAGTGAAGCGGAGTCATTGCTGGACGCGGCAGAGAGAGATCCTCATCTGTTAAAGGTAACTTTGAGTTTTTTTTAAATATATAATCTATACTAATATATAAAGATAAAGACTTCGTTTGTTTGAATGCGCTAATATTTAGCTCTAGCGGTCAAATTAAAAAAAAAATACATTTTATAGCCCATTTGTGAGGAAAGGTCTAATATGGTATAATCTTTCTCATATTACACTATGATCTACGAAAGCGGAGCAATTTTATAAAATTAAACAACGTAAGAAATGCTAGTTATTAAACATGGTAATTAAGTTAATATTAACAAATTTATTATGTTACATTTTAAATTATGCTTTAATGGATCATTTTTCAATTGTAATCTTATACGTAATAACAGAATGAAACCTGATTTAGTGTTTAACCTAATTTCTTAAAATTTAGAAAAAACTAAAATAATCGTGCATCATTTTTAATAAATAATAATGTACATAAAAAGTCTAAAAACTTTTCATTGAAAAAGATTACACTCTAACATTTAAATAACTTTTCAAATAGACTGCTGCACATTACGAAATGATATTATTTTATATTTTTTATATTTACATTTCGCTTCGAACCTTGCAAATTTTAAATAAAGCTCCATCTAGTGACTATTTTATGTACCAACAACATTCACGTCTTAGTTTCGTCGTAAATTAACAGATGGCGCTGAATGTCTTTCAGTAATAGTTCCATATATCACGTAGTCGTAATCACAAAAACACGTAGATGTAGTTATTAGTTGTTTTTTCATTATAAAACAATGTAATAAATTAGAAGCATCACTATTTATAGAAATAATTAATGAATAAAAAAACATATTTAAAATAAATGTAATGTTTATTTTTATTATGGTTACTAAAATCTGTCGAGTGAAAAGAAAAAAAATATCGTCTAATCTGTAATAAAACATCAATACTGTTTATATTTTTGTCATAATCATTTACAAATACAATCAGGATAATTATAATACCTTTATACAACTTTAAACAAATTCAATAACTTTGTATTTTTAAGATGTTTCACAGTTTCGCTAATAGCGTGCAATTTATGGTTTAAGAACCTAAATAAAAATTATATTTTGTACCTACCTACCATAATTAAAACTAAAGTATTTTTTGCCAAATGATATATTATTTTCACACAGAATTTTAATTCATTTCAAACAGCGCCATCTATCGTGGGGTGTTTATACTAGATGGCCATACAAGTACTACATACATTGTTTATATTTAGTATAAACTATTCCGAACGTGCCAATAGATGGCGCTTGTTTTGGTTTTGATTGACACATTAATTGTAAATAAATGTATTTCAAAATGTAAAGTTAAAAACGTTTTTATTTGTGTCAACTCAAAAACAAAAGTAATAATGAACATCAACTTTTCTGAATATTATAACCCGACACTGCTTCGCTCGGTCTCTAAGTTCTAACTACACGTATACGCGTATGTTTACGAAATTTTACAATTAGTAACTCTGGATGCTAGTATTAAAATAAAGTTTATATTAAAATATTGTATTATACTAGTGACTTACTCGTTTGACTTGGGTGCGCCCCTTATTAAATTTTGCAATTTGATGCAAAAAAAAATACTCTATCTTTTGACAAGAAAACAGCGCCATCTTTTGGTATTTCTTGTTACTAATAGTATTCTATGCTATTTAAGGTCATAATCTGTTTACTATTTCTTCCGTCATCTATTCCAATTTCATCAGTCAAGCTGTTTCAACACGAAGAAGTTATAAAAATAAAAAAAAATGGACGTGCGGTTGAAGTGAAACTTCTTTAGCAAATATTGCAATTAAATTAAAACAAATCAATAATTAAATTATATATTACAATCATATATTTATAGAATATCATATACGGAAAGAATATAATATTATATATTTATCAGACAATAACAACAGTTAAATGGCAACATGACAATGTATTTTATCTCATTCTCTCTCCTGTATATTTATGTGTTTGTCTCTTTTTAGTGTCGCATTTTCGTTTCATCGAGTTTCAAATCACAACGATTCTAAAGAAATTTCACTTAAACAAAAACACACAAACTTTCGCAATAGCACTAACAGTAGTGTAGTAACTAGATTATAGCCAAAAAAGAAATTTTATAAGCAAATAAAGTACTTTAATGTCATGGGGATGGCTGTGCCTGTGGTGCAGCGATTAGGGTGACTTAAAAGCTCTATAGGATTTGCGAATATAAATTGTTTTTTTCTTCTAAATTAAAATGGAGACGTATCTTCAGTTTTTTTTTTCCTGGCTTTAAAATTAACGTGGAGTATAAATATAATTTGTTTTGAAATACATATATAGCAATAATTATGAGTAAATTTTGCGTAGGTACGGTTCTACTCGCGTGGTTCTCGTGGGTCCGCTGATAATAAATATTTGTATTTTAGCTTTTAAATAGCTTTTATGCCTTTTAAAACTATTAAAACTTAGTTACCTAAAATAATTTATACATGATTTGCCGAAAAATAATTATTATTATGTAATTCATTTATCTATACATATAATAAAATTGTAACCGATCGCTGTCTGTACATGGAAGACATTTGAGAAAAAATTGGGTGGTCTTCAATTACGCAATAGAACCCAAAACAATGTTTTTATAATGTTTGTCTGTTTGTCTGTGCGTTTGTGCGCGTTAATCTCAGAAACAGCTTAATCGATTTGGTTTCGGTTTTCACTAATGATTGTGGTAAGCTTCACTTAACATTTGTGTACATGTATGTTTACAACTTAGGATTTTATTTATTTAAATCGGTTCATAAAAAAAAGTTATTTCAGTTTAAAAAATCACCTAGTTACTAATAACACACCTCACCATGATATCGAACTTACTATTCCCGATTGAGAATGTCAAATAGCATTTTTGTTTTAAAATATAAGTTGTTTCTAACCGAAGATAAAAAAATATTCTGTAAAGAAAACTTTTAACGTCAAAAATGGGTTTGATCTTTCCGAGCGTACGAAGTTTTAGTGGAACGCGTCACACAGTAACTACTTCCTGTCTTGACACCACATTATATCTTTCTATGGGACACGGATAGTCCCATGGGATTTCCCATCAATAATATAAACAGACTCTTATCATGAATATTTTACTTTTAGGGGATGAATTTTCAAAATACTACATTAAATTTAAAACGATTGTACCGATTTCAAGCTTTTAGACCCAATGCTATATGTTTCTTGTTAGTATGTGTATGAATAAATTAAAGATATTTTATTGAGTAGGTTAGTAATATTTTAAATATAAAAGTTTTATATAAATTTTCTTTATAGTTTATCTATATTTTGTCTTTAATTTTCCTTACTAGAAAAATAAAAAATAAATTAAAATTTGATATAATTTGTATGGTTCAGATAGATCCAGGTTTTCTAACCTTTTTTTCAGTGGAGCCTTGGATTATAAAAATATTTTCATGTCCCAGTTTTTTATTATTTTAATAAGACACATTATTTTAACTATTTATATTAGATTTTCATATCCCCCTTTATTTATTTTTTATTATAAATAAATTCTAGCGATTTTTATTTATTTTAAGCTATACAAAATAAACTTTATCTACGCCCCCTAGATCCTCCCCCTCCCCCCAGGTTGGGAACTCCTAACTGATAGATAGATTATTGAAAAGCAGCATAAGCTCGTTGCTCGTAGATTACATTACTATTTAAGCTAAACCCATAATAGAATCAAAATGAACCTACGCAGGAAGAATACCATTTTTACTATAAGATTTATTAATATTTCAGTCATGGGAATGACGTACACAAAGATCCTGACAGCCGTGAAATTGTTTGCGAGTAACGGTGATGATTTCATATTTAGGCCTAGAAATTATATAAATAGTTGCTGGTGGAATAATATGCTAGTTCATGGCCTATTCTATCAACATTTGTTTTTTTTTTTGTATAGTTTATTGACTTTATAAATAACTAGCATTGCCCGCGGCTCCGCCCGCGTTCAGATGACCAAAAAGCATATTCTTACGTTTTACATATTATTCTACTCTTACAATGCAGTTTTTGTATTTTTCTCAGATATGAGATATTTTCCCGCGGTAAAAAGTACCCTATATGTTGACCCGGATAACCAGCTATCACCATACCAATTTTATCATCTGTCCAATGGTTTTCTCGTGACGCGATAACAGACAGACAAAAAATCTAAAAACTATAGATTCAGACTCTGTATCGATAATATCGATGTATGTCTATTTCAATAAGATTTTCCAAAAAATATTTAAGGTACAGATTCGACTTAGTTACAATTTTATTATATGTATAGATATATAAAAAATAATAGTGTTTAAAAAAATATATATTTAATATAGATAGGTAAATTCTATTTATACATGTTTTCCTCAAATTTTCAATAATGATTATGGTCGAATTTGACCACTGGACGAACATTAGTATGGTCTTACCAAGTATAATATTCTAAGCGTGGTCACCGCTCTAAGAGACAATAGCAACGTAAAAGCCGACATCTTTAAATAGAAACTTGCAGTAAGTTTGCGAAATCACAACTTTATTTTCAACAGTTTTTAATATAAGTGAAATATTAAAATATGATTTATGAAGTGCTTTTGAAGAAAGCTCCGTAGCGAGTTGAGCTTTTTTAACTAGTTTCATTTTATTATTCTTTAGGGTATCGTGGGATCTACAATTTTTAGTTAATACTAGCCACTTTCTCTTCGCTCGGATGCGTCCCTAGGTGCGTTTTAATTTTTTTGAGCGGAACCCTAATTATTTTCTAAAATATAAGTAGCCTCAGTTAATCCTTATAACATCAGCTATCTGCCAGGTAAACTTCCGTTAAAATCAATCTAGCCGTTTCAGAGATTAGCCGGAATAAACAGACAGACAGACAAAAATTTTAAAAGTTGTGTTTTTCTTATAAGTACCGTATATATTTTCATATGCATTTAGTACAAAGCTGTTATTTTGACATTACAAACAGGTACTTCAATTTTATTTATGTATATAGATAAAAGAGAAAATAGGAATATTTGGTTTTGTTAGTTTGTGTGTTAGTCTGTTTATCCCTCTTTAAACAAACGTGGAACCGTAAAGTCATTAGTTACTAGTTAACCCGGGATTAATTGAGTGGGATAATTAATCTGAGATGTTAAGTCCCGTGGGATGTTAGTTGCAAGAAGTTACTTATACCTTTGGTTGCATATAAATTGGAGAAAACAATATTGCATAGTCTAGTATATACTCGTACCTGCGATTGTAGATTTCGAGGCACAGAATTTGAGAACGAGATTTAAAAGAACTATAGGGTGTTTCAGTTATAAAAAAAAAACCATAATAATACTTTCTTTGATTTATTTTATTTTAAATAAAACTATCTTTTCGGGTTTTTCCCGCGGATTTATTTCGATGTTAGGATTTAGACTTAACGATACACTTAAAGGAAGAAAATAAACTTAACAACTTAAAGGTAAACTAAACCTATTTTTTTTTTTATTTATAATTGTAAATATTATTTAAATGTAAATTTTTGGGGTAGGCATTGAAAGCTGATTAAAAGTCTTAAAACGTTTAAAACCTTGTCTCTCCCGTCATCATAATTGCTGTAAAGCATTCGAAACGCCGGGAACCAAAAATAAAAATAAATCCGGGGAAAAATCAGAAAAGATACTTTTATTAAAAAAAATTAGTAATATATGAAATCAGGAAGTTAATATAGATACAGTACTAGGATTCTATCGTCTCTAATCCTGATCTTTTTCTAGTCGTAGCGGAACCTTTAACGGATCAGGAGAGTGATCGTAACCTAATAGAGGTGATTCGGATATTGCTTCTAATGTTTTCTAATCGTCTTGTTGGTCCAATTGTTAGTATGTATGGCTGCAGATTGTAATGTCCTGGGTTCCTGTCTCGAGTTAGGCCAAAATTATTATACTGGGGTTTTCTGTCATACAAAAAAATATTTTACGTATAGTTTATTTACTTGTATGTGATTTGGAGAAAAAAACGACAATAAAATTGAAATTTCAAATAACTTTGTAGTAAATCGGTTTTATAAGTAACTTTGTTAACTAATAAACCATTTCAGAGGTCAGTCGCCAAGGATTTAACTTTACCGTTTCATTTAAAACTACATTTAACTCTTAATCATGCTCTCCACGAACTGCCCTTCTGTAACGCGGATTCATTAATCGTTGGTTTGCTTTAACTGCTTTTGAACTATCTCATGTGTAGAATTACTTAATTTTATTTCTTACTAGCGGCTCAGCCTCGTTTCGCCCGGTGTCGTTCCTAGCGAAAAATAATAAAAAATCTATCCCACGGGAACCGTTCATTTATTCCATGATAAAAAGTAGCCTATGCGCTATTCCATACTATAATCTATATCTCGGCCAAATTTTATCCAGATCCGTTCAGCCGTTCTGGCATGATTGGATGACAAACATCCATCCATACTTTCGCATTTATATTTAGTAGTAAATAAGACTAGTGACTTACCCTCACTTCGCTCCGATATGTTCTTAGGTGTTTTATAGCCGATGTACTACTCTAGGTCTACATACTCTCTCCGTGTACTAAATTTCATCCAAATCGGTCCAGTCGTTTAAGTGTGTGTAGCGTATTCTTAGATGGCGCTAGCCCAAAATAAGGTAGATTTTTGAAACTAGTATGTATATAATTTTATTTATTTATTATAATATAATATTTTAATTTTATTTTCTCAGGTAAGTGTCTCCTAAGCTTTTAATGACAGTCAACTAGGTAAGTGTAATAATTATATAACACATATATAAATTATAGGTATATTTACGTACGTGTACGAACAAACTTAAATTTTTGTAATAATTTTGCTACCAATAATTACTAATAATTTTTTGTTCAATTCAGTCATTTTGATTATTTTTAGAAGTTTTGTATACAACTTATCGTAGATTAAATTAATACCAACCTAAATATTACCAAATCAAAATATTATATAAAGAAAATATTTAATCTACATAAGGCATCCTTCACACGTGACGTGTGACTTGTCAAACGTCTCATGCATTATGCGCATATAAACTTTTTCGATTGGTGTTTGTTGAATATCTCTCGACACCTGCGTTACAGCATCGTAGCAAATGATTATGAAACTAGCTATTGGCCGTAATTTTACTTGCATATACCTACACAATATTAGAAAACATCTAGCCATTTTAATATGCCTAGATATCTATTTATGCGTAAATCAAGGTTTATTTTAAACTAGCGTCTTACCCTCGCTCCTCTCGGATTCGTTCCTAGTTACGTTTTACCGTTTAGTATAGTTTTCTTAGAAATCAAATATTTTCCCGGAGTAAAAACTATCCTATATGTTGGGTCAACATATAGTCAGCATAACCAGCTATCATCATACCAAATTTAATCAAAATCTGCCCAGAGGTGCTCTCGTGATGCATTCCCAGACATTGTTTATTTATGTTATGTATAAGTTAACTATCAGATTAATTATCGAATTTTGATAGATTCTCCCGTGACCATGATTGCTGAAAGCATTCTGAACGTCGGGAACTAAAAATCAAAATAAATCCGCGAAAAAAAAACGAAAATATTTTTATTTAAGACTAGCAAAACCCGCGGCTTCGCTCGCGCTAAAACTACAAAAAATCTCTAAAAAGGTAGTTTCATACAAACTTTCATCCCCTGTTTTACCCTCTTATAGGATGATTGTGATGGTTCCAACTATCTCCACACAAAAAGTTACGCCAATCCGTTACTCCGTTTCGTCGTGAAAGAAGGACAAACAAATAAACAAACACACTTTGACATTTATAATATTAGTATGTATGTTAAATATATGCGTAAGTCTAAGAATGCATCATGGTTTATTATTATTTTTCAGTATAGCTTAAATTCTATATCTAAATTTTATACTGTAAATAACAAAATTTATCTCTATTACATATTTGTAATGATGGAATAATTCCACAGGATTTTGTTTTTGTTGTCGCTTTCTTTAGTGTCCACCATATCTGCATCGAGCGTCTTACAAATGGCCATCTTACCATTGGTGTTGAAATATAAATGGAACTATAATACAAAGTGATTTTGAAATTGGTATACCTTTTTATTTAAAATTGTTCAATATGTAAAGACACTCGGTTCATAACATTTAAGTATCTACCAAATTCCTTTAAATCCATTCCCGAAACGACTTGCAAATGTACAACGATTTGACTCACTCTGAAGTCGTTTATAAACAATTTCAGCCTTGCTTCTTGATCAGCGTAAAGCGCCTTTACCTATAAAAATCTCTATAAAAATAACGAGATACTGTGTAACTCATTTTACACTGAATATTTGTTAGTATGTATTTATGTTTTTGATTTGCTAATGCTATGTAACAGTAATCCTAAGTGTCTTTTTGCAATAGACTATGTTATATTTCATGAGAATGTCTTAATAAAAATTGACCACAGACAACGAACACCTGTTGGTGTGCCTTCAAAATTAAAAAAAAAAATTGCTTCACCCATAGTTTTTTTTTAATTTCTAAAGGACTAAAATGGTTCCTATCCGTTTTTTTTTTCATATTTCAATAAAAATCCTGAAAATCGTAACAATAAGCATTACTGCTATTTTTCAATGTAATTTTAGTATATTTTCGATCGTTGTCACTGTTTGCTATTTCGCAATAAAGATATTCGCTTTGTGAAAAACAATTTATCTGCAAAATAACAAGTACCGTCCATTAAAAAGTCATTAGCTGAAACACTAAGGCTGCTGCGTTTAAAAAATACATTTGCTGCATCTTTATATCGGAGGGCGGAAATAATTAAATTAATTACATTCACAGGATGATTAAATTATTTTTAATGATTATAATTGTTAAAAAGATCGGTACCGAAATTATATTTTGTTTATACTAGCGACTTACCCTCGCAACGCTCGAACCTTTCAGATATATCTAGTATCGCCAGATGCCTAATAATGTTACTACCGATTAAAGTCTATCTGTATATTAAATTTCATCAAAATCGGTCCAGCAGATTTAGCGTGTAGAAGTAACCAATATACATACATACAAACTTTAGCATTTATAGTAGTAATCCAAATCCAAAAGTAAATCCAATGCAGCGACATTATATACATACGTTTTTCTTTCTAAGTACAAAGTTTTTTATAAAATAGTTTTATTAGTTTAGTAAATTTAATATAAAATATTTTGATAAAAAAAATTCTCTGATTTCCTCATAATTACTTCGCAAAAACAAAATTATTTTATTCTGTTCTTAGGAATGTACATACTAATTGGATAACTGTTAGAGATGCGACAGTTTGTATGTATGCGTTTGTTTACGTATGTATGTAGGTGTGTGTTCTTTCACGCTGAAACTGCTGAAGGAATTTGGATAAAACTTACAAAAAAAGTAGATTATAATCTGGAGTAACACATAGCCTACGGTTAGGTACTTAGGGACACACCCGAGCGAAGCAAGGGTAACTCGCTAGTATATAATAAGTATATAATAAGAATGTATTCACGTGTAAATTGATAGCGTTTAGTATACAATATTGCATGAAATCATGCGTTAAAAATCTATTTCCTTTCGAGTATCGGAAAGGGAAAACATTAGGAAACCGTAGCTATGAGCTGTTTATTTTATTACAACTTCGATGGAGTTTCCTTGTAGTAAGTGTTCACAAAATGGCGGATTGTTGGTTATTCCCCACTTATCTTTCTATCACTTCGGTTTGTTTGTTTTTATACCTATGTATATAGATTGTAATTTTTTATGGACACATTTTGTAGAACTATGTATGTATTTGTATATTTAAGATGTTTTTTTTTAATTTACATTTCGAGAGATTTAATTTTAACTGAATCTTTCGAAAGTATTTATTGTATACTAGCATTGCCCGCGGCTCCGCCCGCATTCAGATGACCAAAAACCAAATTCTTAGGTTTTACATATTAGTATACTCTTACATTGCAGTATTTGTATTTTTCTCAGAAATGAAACATTTTCCCGCGGAAAAAAGTATCTTATATGTTGACCCGGATAACCAGCTATCACTATACCAAATTTCATCAAAATCCCTCCAGTGGTTTTTCTGTGATGCGGTAACAGACAGACAGACAGACAATAATTCTAAAAACTATAGATTCGGCCTCTGTATCGATAATAAAGTTTATTTTAATAAGATTTTCCAAAAAATATTTCATGTACAGATTCGGCTTAGTTACAATCTATACATACATATAATAAAATTGAAACTAAGCCGAATATGTACATTAAATATTTTGTTGGAAATTTTATTGGAATAAACATTATTATCGATACAGAGGCCGAACCTATAATTTTAGAATTTTTGCCTTTCTGTCTGTGACCGCATCACGAGAAAATAAATGAACAGAATTTGATGAAATTTGGTATGATGATAGCTGGTTATCCGGGATAACATATTGTATATTTTTTACAGCGGGAAAATATCTCATCTCTGAGCTAAACGTAAGAACGTAACTAGGGACGAACCCGAGAGATAGAACTCCTAAAACACGATCCAGGCATACCTTTATCACATGTACCGATGTCCTTATTTGCATAATACATTCCTATCTTATTCTAACCTAACGAGGACCATCTTTGAATATCCGGGATGAAACGTAGTGCTATATTGGATTAAAATTATTCTTCAACTAGTTTGCCCCTGTGGCTTTACGTGAGTTGTATATGAATAAAACGTATCCAGAATTATAAGTTACCTTCACTCCAATTTTACTTAAATTTGTTGCCTACCTTTTAAATTTATAATATTACTAGCGACTCACTCTCGCTTCGCTCGGGTTCGTCCCTACTTACATTTTAACGTTTTGTATACATTTCTCAAAGATGAAATATTTTCCCGCGGTAAAAAGTATCCTATATGTTGACCCGGATAACCAGTTATCACCATACCAAATTTCATCAAAATCTGTCCAGTGGTTTCCTCGTGATGCGATCACAGATATAAAGACAAAAATTCTAAAAACTATAGATTCGGCCTCTGTATTGATAACAATAACTATTGTAATAAGATTTTCCAAAAAACAATTCGGCTTAGTTAGAATTTTATTATATGTATAATTTTTTTAACTGCTCGGTGGTGTTGTCGCTGGCATGTATGAAAGTCCCAGTAACAGCCCGTAGTTTGAAAGTTGGCAGTGTTTCACCCCCGTGTTTC